GTAACAACCAACACATGAACGTAGATGTGATAACATCTAAGACAAGACTTAATAAAGTCAAAAATAATTACGGTAACAACCAAGGATGGATACATAAACATGGATGATGCATAGTCAAAGCATACATGAGACATGGTTCTAACAATACCGAAGTAACAACACAAGTATGACATATCATAGCATGTTCATAATAATAACATGTGACCATGGAATATAAACACATGGGTAAAAACATATGAGCATGGACATATATGTAACAAACATAAATAACATCATCATGAAGGATATAACAATATCAATCATAAAGGGAGGATATAATAATATCATAATCAAAACAAAAACATAGTTTAGACATGGTGAACATGGTGAGCATGCACAAGACATAACAAAGGTTCACACAATAATCCCATGGATATGAAGGATATAACAATATCAATCATAAAGGTCCAAATCAACATATGAATCATGGATATAACAATATTAAACATGTATGAACAATTAGGGTAAGCATGAACTAAGGTCAAGATTGTGACATGGCTTAGTGTTGACACTAACACCACTTAATCATGAATACAAGTTAAGGTTTCACTTAATGATGGAAACAAGTTAAGCATCACTTGATAATGAAAATAAGCTAGACATGGTTTAATACATAAGGGTAACAACCAAGGATTCCTGTCAAGAGTTCATTGTGATTACAACAAGTCTAAACATTTCAAAAGGTTTGAATACAATGATCATAAAGTCAAACAAAGATATGATATCATAGCTTTAAATAATATGGAAATTTTATCAAAGATATAACAATTATGTATCAAAGGTTCAATATGGTATGAAAAACAATCAAGTGCATTCACATCATACATCAAAGGCAAGGCAAATGTTCATGGTTAAACATTCAAAGTTCAAGGCATATACACATAAAAAAATCATGTATTAAAGTGTTCAAAACTGGGGCAAAAACCAAATTAAACATATTAACAACATCAAATAAGGTTCAAACAAGATGTATCATATTCACAACAATCTCCAAGGTCAAAAGGAATCAAGAAATAGGCAAAAAAATCAATTAAAGGCCTAAACACATATTAAAAAATCACCTACTTTGGCTAAATAAAAATGATTGAAAATAAAATATTTTTGGTAATTTTTTCACATATTCATAAAATAGGCATAACAAATAATGGGTGTGCAAAAAATTGGTCCAAAATGATGAATAGATAGTGAGATATGATCAAGAAAAAATTGAAGAAAACATGAAGCACACAAGTGATATATATATATATATGTATATATATATATATATGTATATATATATATATATATATGTATATATATATATATATATATATATGTATATATATATATATATATATATATATATATATATATATATATATATATATATATATATATATATATATATATATATATATATATATATATATATATATATATATATATATATATATATATATATATATATATATATATATATATATATATAGAGAGAGAGAGAGAGAGAGAGAGTTAACTGAATGTCGAGTAGAATGAGACAACAATCAAACCTGGGGTACCATATACTCTAAATGGAGAGAACAATTACACATTAACCAATATAAATCATAACGTTATGAGTTTTCTCTAAAGACCACAATAATATTTTTAGGATAGAAGTTCAATTTTCCCCATTCATACTTAACGCTTTTTGTAATAGTTAAGGAACTCATAATTTAGAGATATAACTTTTGTATGAAGTGATCCAACAAAAAAATTGTTTTTTCTATAGACCATAATAATATTTTTAGGTTAGTAGTTCAATTTGCACGTTCATACTTAACGCTCTTTGTAACAGTTAAGAGACTCATAACTAAGAGATATATGTTTTGTATGAACTGACCAAACACATGAATTATTAACGTCTAGTTAGATTTGACCATGAAACTTTACGAGAAACATACTATCATGTCCCAAATATTCACTAACGGACTAACTTCTAGAGGAATGTAGATATCAAAACATAAAATATTTTATATAAAATTAATTTTATATAACTAGCTAAATTTTAATCAATTTTTTGACACCAAACTTAAAACCAAATATTTTAACCACTACAAAAAAAACGGCTTGTTGTCACGTGATATTCACGTCACAAAGTGATTTTAGCGACGTGATCATTCACGCGGCAGAAGCATGTGTGGTAACTCTGTTGCCACGTGAAAATCATGTCGCAACTTTGCTACATGATTTTCACGTCGCAACAATCTTAATAGAAGTGACAGGTGTATCAGGCGTAGCAGAAGGGTGACATGTATGTATAAGAACGTTTCCACGTAATTTTCATGTGGCAAGTTGCGACGTGATATTCACGTGACAAGTTGCAACGTGGATTTCACTTGGCAAGTTGCGACGTGAATATCACGTGGCTAAGTATTTAAAAAAAACTGGATTGTTTTAATACGTTTTTTATTTTATATTAAATTTAATAGTTTGTATTTTTAATTATTTTAAAATACAAAATTTATAAAAGCTTTTTTTAATAATATTTTTAATTGAAAAATTAATAAATATAACTAATACCAAAAAATTGATAAATATAAATAAATGCCAAAATTAATAATAAAATTTTTAAATAAAAAATGTAAAATATACTAAAATGTAATTAATATTTTACAAAAATAAAAATTTAAAATTAAAATAAATTCTTCGGATCAATCCGGATCGGGAAAGTCGTCAAGGTCAAAATCAATGTCATCCTCGTCATCCATCTGTTGTTGACCGCTAACTCCTTCATTTCCAATAACTTGATTACCGCCACCCCGTGATTGCATAAATTGTCGCATCATCTCCTCCATATCAGCTTGCCTCTTCTTCATTGCCTCTATTTGACATTGTTGCTCCTCCATTTGGTCCTTTAGTGCCGCCTCACGTTGCGTCCACTCGCGTCTCGCCTCAGTTAGTGCTAGTTGTCTTATTGTTTCTAGCATTTCAGGGCTCAATTGTGGTGGATGTGACGTTCCTTCACCATCTCTAACTCTTTGAAATAAAGTTATATCCCCTTTTCTCATACCGCCGGCCAAAGCTCCAACACCAAATAAACATTCATTAAGCCCCTTTGCGCCAATTACTAAACTCCAAATATAAAAAATTCACTGGTGGATTAAGCGACTCATAACCTCTTGGAGTATATTGAGAATTTTCTACCAAAAATTGTGTGAGCAATACCTGATAATCCTCCTACGCATACAATAAAAAAATTAAGTTAAATATAGCTTAAACAATTCAAGTTAAATTAAATTAAGTTAAATAATAGATATAGCCACGTGATTTTCATGTCACGATGTCTCAATTGCCACATGAAAATCACGTCACAAAATTGTCATTAAATAAAAAAATATAAACAATTTAAATAAAATAAAACGACTTACCAAAGTTTTTTTGGTGCGTTCGTCCACAAATTCCCCTAATTTTTTTGTTCTAGTCTTTACAACTAGCTCTGTCATGAGTGGAGGTCTCCCCAAACTCTTTTCTTAAATATAAAGTTAATTTTAATTAAAAAATATATAATAAATCATAATGTAACTTAAAATAGTAGTAATAATTACCATGCGTCGAACATGTTCGACAACACTTATACTTCCAACTGTATTAAGGCTACCCCTTTATCAGATGCTCTCATTTTCTTTGTTTTTTCAGATCTTGCCTTAAAACTAGAATCTGTATCCCAATAAAAAAAGAAGTTTATCGAATACTTCTTTTCCTATCCACAGTTGGGACAAATATTTTCACATTCCCAACGGAGTCTAGCACGCCATAGCATGTCAGAAAGTCAAACTGATGTTCTGCCAAAATAGTTTTTGTAACCTCTTTCTGGTTCATTTTTTTCCACGTACACTTTTCCTACAATGTTGTAAGACATTCAAATAAAATAGTTAGATAATTATAATAAAAAAGTAATTTAAACAAAAATAAGTTAACAAATAAATTACATAACTTAACAAAAATAAATTAATTATACCTTAAATAATTTAAACCAAGCTTCTTTTTCGTCCCCATCAATGTCTTTAAATTTCTTCCAAGGTTTTTTATACTTTTGCTGAATTACATAACTTATACACTGGGCATCAGTCCGACTCAACTCAAAACTAAACATTAGTAATTTATATTAGTATGAAATATAAGTTAATATAAAAAATGGAAACATGTATGCTTAAATAAAAATTTAAAACTTACAAATTTCCGCTGGCCCAAATAAAATATCTTCCTTCAATGATATGAACCACCTCATCATTGGCATCCTTCTCTTCATTATCGTCTTCCTCATTATCCACCTCATGATCGTCCTCAACTGGATCCTCATGATCATCCTCACACGTAGGTATATGTGGGGATGGTAAGGGTACCTATGTGGGATATGCGGTATGGGATCCCCCAGACTGTGTGAAGGATGAGGGTACCCGTGCGATAGTTGAAAAGCTAGATTCCCCAGACTGTATGAAGGATGGGGGCACCTGCTGGTAGGGAGGTGGAAAGCTAGATCCTCTGGACTGCATGAAGGTACTTGCTAGTATGGATAACTAGGTCCCTCAGTCTGCTGATATGGATAACTAGGCCCCCCAGATGGGCTAATAAAAGCTGGTCCCCCAGATGAGCTAATAAAAGCTGGAGCCCCATATGGGCTAATAAAAACTGGATACTCTTAAGGGGAGAGTAATGTCATGAAAGGCTGAGAACTGGACATGGACATAGGATCTACTTGACTCTGCGGGGGAGGATACATGGCCGACTGAGGTGCCTGACATACTACTACTCTTGGACGTTGGGACTTCTTACCCTTATCCTTATCAGATCGGAGTGACATTTTAACTATTTATAGAAAACAAAAATTTAATATATATTTATGAATTCAAATAATAAATCTTAAAGAGCACAATCTCATCGATATATATTAACTAACACATTCAATACAAGGTTTCATCAAGTTAAATTACAAAAATAATTTATTCAAAATCTTCATGCTCTTCATCCATATCGTTATTATCATCTGATGTAATATTATCCTTGGATCCAAACTTTTCATGCTCGTCATCCACATCATTTTCATCCAATAATATAGACACATCAACTTGATGCCCCTCAACCATTGTATCAGATAAACTTGTAATTTGTTCAACTGCAATCACATCATTAATTTGTTCAACTTCATCAACTTGGTAAGCAACATCTTCCACTAGATCGCCAGTTTCAATATGACCCAATGATTTTGTTTTGATTACAATAGACCAACCTTGTTTACATGGTACAATTGAAGGATAAGGAACATAGTAAACTTGTCTAACAATATGTGACATTATGAAAGGGTCATATTCTTTGTACCTTCAGTCCTTTCGAATCTCAACAGTACCATATGCCTTATCTATTTTTGTACCTCTGGCAAATGGATCATACCAATCACAATAAAAGAAGATAACTTTATTTTCAGAGTCCAAGTAATTGTATACCAACTCGTAAATATGATTAACAAAGCCATAAAAGTCATCCTCATTACCATCTGTAACTCCTTTTACAAATACACCACTGTTTATGGTTTTTTTCCCTTCAGTCCATGTCTCAGTGTGAAATTTATATTCGCTCAAGAAGTATGTGTGCCATTAATTTGCACTTTGAATAGGGCCTTCAGACAAGTTTCTCAAGTGGAGTATTTCTTGAGTCGGTGCAACAATGCATGAAAATTTCTCCTTGAACCATGCTGGAAACTGAGCATGTATGTGACCGAAGTTGCTTGTACACCGGTGCTATGAAAGTAGGAGGTGTTAAATTCCCTATAAAGAAACACACTATAAGTTTCATGGTAATAAGTTTTGTATTCATACTGTAAAGAATATTAAACAGTTGGGATATACTTACTCAAGATATGGTTTAACTTCAACAGTTAATTAAGACATGAACATGTGCATATTGCATTTCTTTTTGGGTCAGCCAATGCAAACTCTTCTTTCTAGAGGGATCACCAGGAAGCCTGAAGATTGATAAGGTAAATTGACTTCTTTCGTTAACATTTATAGGATTCCTTATGGTTCTTAGAGTTAACATCAAGTGATTGAAATAATGAATGCAAAAATGAGATGTTTCTTGATGCAAGTAATGCGCACATATTGATCCTTCAACTTTATCTTTTTTTTTCACCGATCACTTTGAACCACCATGAACATTTCAAAGGGATACATCCACCTATATTGAACAGGGTCGCTGTTGCGGTGAGAATAGGATATCAAATTATTGATTAATTTGAATCACAAATCTTTGATTCACAACCGGTCTTAGATTCATCCGAAGGAAAGGTCAAAGGAAGAAAAAACCTAGTTTTGCATCGTAAACACAATGCGGGGAGAGATCTAAGGTTCGGGGGTTGGTTAAGCTTAGGGAAGGTATTAACACCCTAAACTTATGTAGTACTCTACATGAACCTCTTGTTTTAATGTTGCTATTTTGCTAAATTATTTGCTTAAGAGTATATGCTAAGGGTTAGAAGGTGAAAGAAAGACCTAAAGGTTAGTCCTAAGTTTACTCGCCAAGACTCGCATCTTGTGCCTACGCATCCGAGGTAGGAGATATAATCAGAGTAATCGTAGTTCCCATCGAAAGGGAGGAAGAGAAACTTCTTGACGATGGTCAAGGTTTCAATGGGGGAATAAGCATTCTTAAGGAAGCGCTTACGTGGAGTACAGAGAATCCTATTTCTACGTTGTAATTAAATGGAATTAAAAGGGCAAAATAGGTATTCCACGGCGGGAAACCTAATATGGAGTGCGGCGACTCCTTATCCTAATGCTAGGGTAAAGGGTAATTTGGTCCACGACGGGACGTCTATGCAATTAGGGTTTGGAACGTGAAAGGTTCAAAGGTAAAGGACTAATGACGCGGCGGTCAGACGACTAGACCTATTCCTTCATAAGGATTTACGGTGAAGAATGCAATGAAAAATAATTAGGCAACATACTTGAAATATGGAAAAGTGCGAAAAACAGTAAAGAAATTGCAAAGCGACAATATCCTCGCATAAATTACAACCATAAAATGAAGTGCGAAAGATAAAAGATTATTAAACAAGTACAAACGAGAAACATGAAAAGAACGACATAAGTGTTAGAAAATATTAACGGGGCAAATATACAATTAGGCGAAAGTTAATTCGAAACTGAAAGCGAAATTCTACACAATTAGGTTAGACATGTTTTAAGCAAAAGTTAGGATTAATTTGAAAAATAGTCTTAACTAAAAGGGGAAAGTTTATTAAAAATTAGTAATTTCTAAAAAGTTTTAAATTTATTTTAAAAGTTAAATTTTTGATTGGTTTTAAATTTTTTTCCTAAAGATTAGAATTTAATCTTTACAAAGTTTTACCTAGAAAATCAATAAACTAAACTAAACTAATTTTATTAGATTTATTAAAAAAAAGTTAAATTTGAAACCTTAGAATTTGTAAATCCTTGAATTGAGAATTTAGATTCCAAATTAAAATTTAAAAATAGTTTTAATTTTAAAATTTTTTTATTTAAGTTTTAAATTCTAGTTTTTAAAAAAAAAGTTTTAAGAAATAATTTTCAATTAAGTGTTAAAAGATACGTTTTACTTAAATTTTAAAATTCTAGTTTTTTTTTTCATAAAAAAAATTAAGTTTTAAGGTGGGTTTTAATTTTAAGTTAGTGAGACAAATAAGTTTTAACTATGACTTTTTTTTAAAAAAGAGTTTTAACTTAATAATATAATTGTAATTTATATTTACCGCATTAATAATTTAACTTAATGGAAATAAATAATAAAAAATAAAAAGAAGATAGAAAGAAAGAAATAAAAAGGGGGAAATGGGTATTCGCTGAAACATGTTTAGGGTTTGTGGAAACCCTCTTCTTCTTCCCATACGGCGCGACGACCATGGAAGCTCTTCTGAGATTTTTCACCTTTTCTTTCTTCTTCTTCCTCGCATGGCCATGATCCCTTTTTCTTTTCCTGCAGAAAAAACATCCGTTAGAAAAAAGGTTGCTCACCCTTCACGGGTTTGAAGCGGCTCCGTGTGATTTTGCGGTGGCTACGACGGTTGCGCGGTGGCTATAATGACGAGATGGAACTTTTCGTCTCTCTGAGCTTCTCTACTCGCGGCGGCCGTGAGTTCTTCGTGATGTGGATTTTTTTTGAGTTCCGCCGCCGTGATTTTTCGGTTGATGAAGGGTGATTCTGAACTTCGTCATCTTTTGAGGATTTACTGATGGATTTCGCCGCCGTGGGTTTGTTCTTGATGTTCTAGGGTTTCTTCAAATTCATCTCCCCCTTCTGAACTAATGCTGTTGTTTATATTATGGTTTCTTCTTCATTATTCTGGGCCTAGGTTACATGTTGTTACGCTTCTCATGGATTATTTGTTGGATTTGTTGCAATTTAGAAGGCTTATTTGTTATGATTTTTCAGGAAATTTGGTTGCTGTGTGTTGCGATTTTGGAGGAACTTGGAAAAGTTTGTTTTGATCTTGTTTGGGTTCGGAAATCTTGCGAAAGTTGTTGTTCTTGGCTGACTGGACATGGATTTTTCATTTTGGATATCCATGGATTTTTTTGGATTATGGATTCTTTTAAGTCTTGTTTGGCTAGAACCAGAAAAACCACTTTTTCAAATAATCACTTTTTCCAAATAATCACTTTTTCTAAAATCACTTTTCTCTCTCTCGGAAACAAACTTGAACAGATATTGCCAGGTCCGTGCCGAGGTCGGGAAATGGAGTCAGGAGCTGGCGGCAGAATAATTCGACCATTTTTATTGATTCTAACCATTTAAATTATTTTCTCTGTTGTCGATTCTTTTGCAGGTTCGGAAAATCGAAGGTTGAAGAATCGGTGCGAAGACCATTTTAGAAAAATTAGGCATTTAAGACTTAGGAATTGTAATTTCCTTTGTAATGAAAAATAGAATTTAAATAAATAAATTTGATTCTTCCTTAATAAACTGAAATTATTTCTCCAATCAAATTTCTCCTGATAATTCATTCGATTAAACTCAACCGAATAAATTCATTTAATTAAGTTTATCCGACTAAATCCATCCGATTAAATTCATTCGCTTAAAATTCATCTGATTAAATTCAAACGACTGACTCCATCTGATTAAACCCATCCAAATAAATTTGCCCGAGTAAATTCATTCAATTAAAATTATATGATTAAACTTTGACGTTCCAAACTTCGAATTCGAAAATAAATCATCTTGCATGATTTAAATCTGACGTAACTGCTGAGTTCGAACAAATCCTTTTGCAAATCAATTTGTACCCGATAATAATATCAGTGAATATGACCTTGAACAGATAAGTAGAGAAATCTGATTAAACGGCAAAATAAACTTCCCTCGGCATTTAAAATTCAAATTGTATCTTGAACAATCTGACTTTTTAACCTGAGTCGATTCCAACTGAATGCCCATGATCAACCCAACTGATATTCATTAGAAATTCAACGCGAATCAAAATTCAACTGTTTCTTTAAAAATCGACCGGTGGCTAGCAGAAAGCAGGAAAACGTGTGTCTGTCAGAATAAATTCCTCAAAGCACATTCTCGCACCGATTAAACCCGAATCCACTGATATCTTAACACATTCAGCTCCATATGGTTTAGGAATCAAACAACATTTCTGAAATCCAACTAACAAATAGATCTCGACTCTTGAATACAATGTATTGCGTTCTGCCGTCCATATTGTCGTAAAATTTAGCTCACATCTCAAATAAAATCACATGACTTGGCGATTGAAACCCTAATTGCTTGAAGAATTCCTGGCGATAACTTTGCTTCATAAATTGTCAGCACACCGCAAAATAATGACCCTTTTACCCTTCATAAATTAAACCGCACACAATGGAATTTTCTTGCAAAAACCAACAGACTGAACAAACTGGTTAGCGGTTAGTTAAAATGTAATGCAGAATGAGATGGAATGCGAAATGATCCTAATAATCTAAGGGTAAAATTTGGGGTATGACAGTTGCCCCTATTTAAATAGCTTCACCGGATGATTTGAGCGACGTAGGCCCGAGAAATCATGGTTATAGGGATTTAAATACAGATAACCGAAAATTTAGCCCTTAGATGCAGTGTTATGCAATGCTATGGACAAAACGAGACGAACTGTAATGTGGACAATGCCATGATGATGCGTATGACTAAAATGATAAATGCAAGGACGCAGACGAAACGATGACACAGGGAACATACGTGACGACCAAACATACACTAGGGCGAGGCAGCAACACAGAGGAAGCAACAAACATCATCCATGAACGGAACTGGATGGAAAGAGTCACAA